TGATCATCAAACATTCCAGATCGCATTAAAATATTTTTATTTAAACATGATTAAATGGTTATGTAAAATGTTTTCTGGAATCGTACATTTATAAATTGTTAACGGCGCGAGGTAAATTCACAATAAGCAAATAAATAGAAAATATAAATGTTTACTCGAAACATTTTCCTTGCAGTCATGATTTCTGTAGCAAAGTTTTGTTCTATTAACGGGTTTTGACAAACGGTTATTAGGCAACTAATCTCTTCCCAAATTAAAATATACTTTATTTGAAGCTTAATGTAATCGCAGTATAGATCACTAAATTAATAGAAATTAATGAACAATTGCTTCCCCAAACGTTTTTCTTTAACAGAACTCATTATTAAATTTCATCAGTTCTTGTTCGTCATCAGTTCGACATGTATTTTTAAACGCATTATTATGTATTTTTTACAAATGGCTTTTGTCTTTTATTAAATTTCCTTCTGTTTACCATAATGCGACTTTATTGCATAAAAACAAAATTTTATGGGCTAATTAATATGCACCTTTTAGATCTAGTAAGAGACATTTTTCACTTAGTGCCAGATTTCTGTAAGCTTGAAGAAATATTATTTTAATTTATTGTTCATTCTAAAACTTGTTGGAAAAAGATGTTACGATTTTGACTTTTAAATTGAGTAAATGAGCGTAAATATTGAAAACATTTTTATTAAATGAAATGAAATTATAATAAGTAATTTACATTTAGGATACATAATTTTTTTGATGCTCTGAATGCGAGATATTGTTCTGTCATATAATCGTGTCGGGTGTCAGGTAAATTCACTTTCGGGAGATATTTTGCTGACAATTTTTATGAATAAAGCTTAACTAAAAATGAAATTAATATTAAATTAATTTTTTTTACTTGCATACAAGTTTTCAAACAAGGAAAGAACACAATAAAAAGTCTATAAAAATGTGCATATAAAAGTCAAAGCATCTCATTTCATTATTGAAAATAAACTCCTTGAAAACACAGAGAAGGTAAGATTTTATCGCTGGTCCCTTTAATAATAATTAAATAGGTACATATAAATGCGGCAGACGGAAACTGCTGTAAAGGTACATTCAATATATATTGTACCCGATTAAAATTCTTGCTTGATTGTCACTGAATTTAGCAATAAAATTGATAGTGCTTACGGGTATTAAACAGCTTTTAAGGTGATAAATTAAATATGGATAGGTAACTTAAAAGATACTCTTCATTATAAGTACCTATTATATACTAAATTGCGAAAAGTGGTATAAAGTTGCAAATGACACACCAGGTAGGATTACTATGCTAAAACAATGAATTCGGTTCATGGTGTGAACGTCAAACTATCCAAATCTTGTTCTTAGGGAAATTTATTGGAAATAGTTGTCAGGATCAAAAATTCGTGGGTAAAAGCAGCTTGACCGCACACTACTGGAGGTCCTAGCTTGAAATTCCAACCGGAAACAGTCTTTACATGATGAGAATGTTTGATATCTTATCAAGTAAGTACATTATAATTTCTTTTGACTATTCTCAAGCAAGATCATAATTTGAAAATTTTATTAAAAATTAATTATTTCTAACATTTTGTTTCATTTTAGAAATAGTAGCAACTTATAGGAGTTCGTGTGATGACTTGAAAAAAATCTCAATTTTCTCTAAAGTTGATGATTATAAAAAAATAAAATACTTTTCCCTACCAATTTTTCTGCAGTACAAGTAGTCTCATGTTATGATGGGTAAAAATTCTCCAAAATTTGCAGTAGCCTATATATATATATATATACCAGTTTATTTTTTGAGTTTAGCGTTTCAACTATTAAATGTTAAGCTAAACTGTTTAACACTTTTATGCGCTTGATTGGCGTAAAAGAATAAAAAGACATTTTAATAATTAAGTAAATTATTAAAATTTAAAATATAGTTTTGCAAACAATAAAATTAAAATTCTTAGCATTTTAAAAATAAATTTTCAGCGATTGTTTCGAAATTCAAAATTGATTTCAATACTTCATTGTTTTTAAAGTGCACATTAATTTCAAATATGAATGACGAGCATTAGCACGTTCTGTCCAAGGAAGAGTATATCAGTATGCTTATATTTGATACTGACCTTTTCATTTTTACTGTTAAAAGCATTTATACATATATGCAATGGAATACTTATTTCAGTGAAAATGATTGTCTGCCTAACCACTTCAGGAACTAAAGCGCGATTGTATTTGGCATTCACCTTCTCATCAAAGAAAACTAAAAAATAATATTCCATGTATAATAGCTTCAGCGATGAAAAAACAATTTACTTTACCAACCGTACGAATCATATACCTGTAAGAAGTATATGACTATGTTGTTAAACATATGCACCTATGAGAAATCTTCGATGTATAATTTATACAAATTTACTTCATTAGATATTTTGATGTCAGTATGAATTGTAAAGATGTGCGTCTGGCTAGTTTCTTGAAGATTATGTAATCAAGGCGTACATCATTTTTCTGTTATAGAAAAGTGTTACATTTACATGAAAATAACAAATTTCAGCATTTTAACATAATTAAAGTGAATTAACATATTATGTATAAAGAAAATTAGCATAGAACATAAAATCATATTAACTTCATAACATTAACATAAAAATGTCTGAAATGCATCAGCGTGATGTATTACAAATGCATAAAAGAATTTTGCTTAATCCAACAGAATGGTGGATCTTATTTTTCTTTTCCCTTTGATTAAAGGAAAAGTATTTACGAAATTCATTTTAAGAACTAAAAATTTGCTCAAAATTAAATTTCATACGTTAAAAAAGAAATGATGCTGCCTTATGCTCCGAAATAAAATGTAGCCTGTTGAAGGAATGTACGCTTCACTGAACTGTGTTGCTTGATGAATTATTAACATGAAATAATTTGAAAATATAATGCAAGTTCACATACTAAGAAAATATTTCAAAATATCAAAGATTTTTATAAAATTTGTTTTTAAATTAAACCACCTAGAAGTAGTCGAGAATTTTACAACTAAGCAAATTTAGAGAAATGCTCTATGCATTTCAAGAGAATTGACACTGATCTTTCTTCTTCAAGGAGCAAAAGTATGCTGGTGAAAGATATGGTGATAAAATATGTAGGCAGAAAATCTTTTCGCTGCGTCGTTTTTCTAAGCGGCGCCATTTTATTTCCCGAGAAATATCAGAAAAGCATCGGGACGCAGGTATTTTAGAGATGATATAATTTTTAGTAGAAGTATCTTATGTACATATCAAAGTACAGTTGTTTCAAAAATTTATACTTAATTTTAAATTTGAATACCAAGTTATGTTTTTCACAAAAGAAACTATTTCAGTATGTTAAAAATGAAAAATTTCTTAACTGATTAAAACTAATAAAAAGCATTTAATTCATATTAAATAATACCACAGTTTGTTATTTACAATAAGAAAATCAGTGTGGATGTAAAATGCAAAGATATAAGAAAAAATATTAGAATTAAAATTTTTCGAAATTATTCTGTGGGTTTAATGAAATATTCATAACGAAGTGGTAAGTACTGGCAACAAAGTTTTGATTAAAAACGAGTAATTTGTTTTACGACAGCAAGCGTAAGTTTAACAGTAAAATAATATTTCTCAGACAGAAATTATCAGACGATTCTTATTAGACTCCATAATTTAAGACATTCATAACACGATTTTACATTAACGGCCTCCAGTTAAACAATTACGTGGACGTGTCTGAGACAAGAAAGAGGACGGTCCCGGTAGCAAACTAGAATAAGTAGCAAAAAGGACCACGGGTATGGCGATATGTTACACGAATAGGATTTCATGAATTTGGAATTGAACTTCAAAGAAGTTAAGCTACGAAACTACAAACATTAACCGCTTATTGATTTTAAACAGATCAGATTCATTAAGAACACAAGAATTTTAAGCTAATGCTCCAACGCAAGGCGTAATAAAAATTGGAACATGCAAAATACGAAACTATGTATACACTTAATGCTCTAAGCAATGCAACACACAAATCGAAACGTCTGCAAATGAAGAACTATTATACGTATGAAACATTCTATTTGACATTTAAAATAGCTTAATTCAATTTTAGCTTGACGAAATGCAGTTAGAAGACAAATAATGTCGTTGACTGTGATTTTTCTTGAAATGTAATTTAATTCTGCTGAAAAAAACTTAAAATACAGAACTTTTTTGTTTTTTAGAATAGTGCAATATTTTAATAGAGAAACGACTGTTGCTGATAGTGGATATGCAGTTTTACCGAAATTCTTTCATGCATAAAATAGTTAGTTATTAAAAAATTATTTTGACATAAATTGTTATGCTTAGAGATGAAAATACTGTAATACATTATAATACATTTTGAAGAAATTAAATGAATGCATACTACTTCGTTTAAATTTAAAATTTAATTATCTTAAGAAATTTTAGAAGATCAGTAAGTTAATTAAAATAAGCCGTATAAGCGTTAATAAAATGGTTTAATGTTGCTCGCCAAATCAAATAAATACGAAAATATTCTTTTCTTTTTTAAATTTAGGAACAATTTAAAATTGTTTAAAAACTACTAAAATCAATAAAATTTAATTCATGGCCACGGCTGTTGTAAGTTAATAGTAGTTTCATTCCATTTAATTTAAATTCTAATTATTACGTAACATTCTGCCTCTGTAAAAATAAGAAATGATTGACTAATATTTAACAGAATCAATTCAAAAGACTTAAATTATAATTGGCAAGACATGTATAGCATTTTGTTCCCATGTTAGCGCACTAATGAATAAACATTAAATAAAATCTATCCAAAATAATAAAGCCTTTTCACAGAAACGAAAAGATCATTTTATTCCCTAAATCCGAATAAATATTTGAATAAGACATTAATATAAATATTTTTATAAAACTGAACATGATTTTGTGTCATAAAAAACGAAATTTAAAAATAAATTACACAAATAATTTGTTATCCCAATATATTTTATTCCATAAGAATTAAAAATCATCATCTATCAGAACTAGAGATAAAGAAATTGCTGCCACAGAATTCCGAAAGAATTAAAAACGATAGCAAAGTAATAAACAATATTGACAGAAAGAACTGAAAAATACATATGCTTAGAATAAAATTAAAATATTAACTTACACTCATTAACTTAGATATTTCGAAAGAACAGTCTAAAATAAGAATAATTCAGACAGATGTTTATAAAATTAAAAACTATGTTTCTCAATAGAGGAGCAAATAGGCACTGAAAGAATTTCTGCACACGCCTTACCATCATGTAGAATAATTGCAGTGATCTAAGCTAATTTTCTGAAATTTGCGTGCTTTTGGTGGATATGATATCATTGCTTAGAGCATTTCACATTTGACCAACGAAAGTGACACACAAGATTAAGGCATCAGTTTTCTTTCTAAATGTTTTTACTTTATATATATATATATATATATTATGTATATTAAAAAATGCATTTTAAGGAAAACTGCACAAATTTCTGTACACTGTGAGAGAATGGGGAGTCTTTCTTTAAAAAACTACTTTTCTTACAGGGTCTGTCGAGGTTTGTATTTATAAAACTAATGGGACAGAGACGGAGATCTCCTCATATTTTTTGTTTTACTTTATCCGGACTGTCGCAACCTTCCTCTTGATGAGATGAACATATTCTACAATGCACAGCCAGGAAACGCGGACAGGACGTTTCTTCCTTGACCGAAGAAGTTCCTAAAACGAAAATAAAAAAAAATAAATTAAAAAAATTCATGCCATAAAGAACAAAATTGATTTAAATCACAGTAATATTTATATCAGGGATAGTTAAAAAGTACCTTTAATATAGTAATTAATAACTATAATTCTAATCCATTACTTTAAAATAGGTACTTCAAGGTCGTAGTAACCTAGCCTCATTTACGATCGTAGTGTGTGTCGTTATCATCGCACAGATGAAATGAAGGAATTTTAGCAAATTAAAGGATTTGACTTTTTTTTTCTGCATCAGTCTTTACCATAGTTATCAGACAAGGTTTGGGGAAAGAGAAATGGCCTTGAAGGGCCTGTTCCAAAGAAACAGATTTGGATAGTAGATTGTTGGTAAAGGACCTCATACCACTACTCTAGATTTTTTTAATTCTGAGTCCACTGGCGGTTGAATTGCAAAGATAGAAGAATCAAAAATATGGTCAGAAACCTCCTAATGAACCTTTCTGACCCCAAATGGTATAACTAAGAACAGAAATAATCAACTTAGGGACATTATGAAAGTTTTTCAGAATCGCATCTTCGAGGAGTGAGTTTTCTAGAAACTTTCAGAAGTGTTTATTTTGCTCTTCGAGCAGTGTTATAAATAGAAGGCTCTGAGTTGTCACTCAGAGAGTTAAGCTCAGAGTTTAACCTGTATTGGGTAATAAATTGAGTGGGACATTGCTCTGTGGGCTATTCTGGCGATTTACGACGGTAGTCTCGAACTTAAATTTCATGAATTTTGTTTTAACAAAATGAAAAATTTTATTGACAAAATAAAAAAAAAAATATTTTAGAAAAACTTAAATTTCGCTTGCTAAATATTTTTCGAAATATATATAAACAATAAATAATATAGCAAAGGGAAAAATCAAATCAGTGTCTGTTTTCTATCTGAAACCTAAAGTTTAGCAGTCCTAAGACATTTTGGTGTTTACATTTTGTAATTCAAATATACTGACAGCTACTTTAATTTGAAGTAAAGCAAATGAATTATGAAGCTATACGTTTTCAGAGAAAATTCCCCAAGTGGGACAAACTCAAAACAGATCATAACAAGCTAGTCTCAATCTCAAATTAGAAAAAAAATTTCTTCGATGCATAAATAAAAATTCTTATATTTAAACTAGCGGAAGTACCCGATGCCATTTAAGTTCGATTGAGAGTAATGCAGCTAACAAACAGAGAGAACGATACCGCTGTAATTTTTCTCTAATAACCATGCAAAAAATACGATTCATAATGATACATTTTTCAGTCTGATGCGATATGAAATGCACATAGAAAATTTCGACGGAAAAATAAGCTAATTCTCTCTCATTATATCAACAACAATGGCACGCAGTTTTTAATGATTTTCGTCTTTCTAATCAAATGATCGTAAAAGCTCAAATTCCATCCAATATTTCACTTACATTCAGTTTTAGTCGATTAAATGTGGCAAAAAATTTATCATAATTAATCAGAAATCAATAACGCGAACAAACAAAAACACAAACAGACATTCTTCCTTATATTATATATATATATATATATATATATATATATATATCTGTAATTTAAATTTTGTAAAACTTGATATATATATATTGTAAAACTTACAAATTTTTGATTAACAAACTCTACGATTTGAAAGCGAGCAGTCGCAACATCTCTCGAAATAAAGCATTTTTATCTCCAATGCGGGAGACTGTTGACACTCAGAAAAATGAGTGCGAAAATTAATGTGTTCTGAGTTTTTAATAAATATCTTGGCTGATTAAAAGTCGTACGCAATCGAAATGGCTTCCCGCGAATTTTTGGAATCGAGAATAATGTATTTAACGTTTGGCAATGCTATTTTTATTTCTTTGTAAAACTTCGAAATTTTTGATTAGCAAAATCTACGATTTGAAAGCAAGCAGTGGCAACAACTTTAGAAATAAAACAGATTTTCATGTTCAGCTTGCGAGACTGTTGCGACTCGAAAAGATGAGGGCGAAAATTAGCGAGTTTTTAATAAATATTTCGGCTGATTAATGTCGTACGAAGATGGGAATAGTCGAAATGGCTTCCCACGAAATTTTGGAATCGGGAATAATGTATTTAAAGTGTGGCAATGCTATTTTTATTTCATCGTAAAACTTAGAGAAATTTTTTATTAACAAACTCTAGGATTTAAAGCGAGCAGTGGCAACAACTTTCGAAATAAAGCAGATTTTCATCTCTCGCTTGCGAGACTGTTGCCACTCTGAAAAATGAGAGCGAAAATGATCGTTTTTCCGAGTTTCTAATTAATATCTCTGATTTTAGCTACTTTTTTTTTTTTTTTTGGAAAAAAGTGGACCTCGACCTTTTCCAGGACCCAGAAAAGAATTGTAGAAAGTTTGGTGACGATAGCTATAGTAGTGACTGAGTTATTAGAGGACAACACACAGACTTTCTTCTTTATATATATAGATAAGTGTAAACATCTCTATTTCTTACTATAACTTAATGGTCTATGAGGACTTAATGGCATTTCGATTTTGATAAAGTTTGCAGCCTTGAAGAGAAATTGTTAGAAATTATCTTCATCACGGATTCTAGATGCTCAGCAGCTCCTTTGCTTATTTAGTTTCAACTGTGAAAATACGCTGTTCACATAGCGATTAATTCTTAGTGCAAATACTCGTAGCTGAGCTTATTTGATTTTTGACAAGTGCAAATAAAGCTACTAAAATTGCTATCTTCAAATTGTTGAATAACATTTACATCATGTCACAAATTAATTATATTTATAAATTTTCTGGTGCGTTATTTCTGTTCGTTTTTAAAAGAAATGAAAATAATATAAACACGGATTTCGAATACTAAGATCTTATAATCTTTGTAACAACATATTTGCAACAAATACATAATTGAAATGTCTTCGTGGGCCTCATAAAATTGCTTGGGGGGCTGTAAGCGGCCGCGGGCGGCCAGTTTCAGACCATTGATCTATAATATTCCCCACGCGTTAAGAATTTTGTGCTATCTCTCCTCGGGAAGACGTAAGCCCCATTCTACAGCCAGCGTTTGTAAAAGAGAGAACTCTTCTAACTTTCTGAATTACAACTATTCATCTTGCCGCATGAACGGTTATTTATTTTAATACAGATTCAAGTCTTTGTGTTCATCTGGTCTAGTTATTTAAAGAGATCTTTGCGAAGTCTTAGTACTAAACAGTATTCTGCCCAGTAGCTTGAGGTATCGATACCTATACTTATATTTGATTATCGGTACCTATACTTATACCCTGTTAGTATACTTATATTTGGGAAAATTTTATACTTGTTATGAAAAAATATTATGTTATTCTCTATCGATAAAAATTGGACTTACTCCTAAAAGTGTCCCCATCATTCAGCTTCATTTTAGCGCAAACCACAGTTATCCAAAGTAAAGTTCGACCATAAAACTGATACATGCTCTCGCTTTCCTCAAGAAATGAAGAAGTTCGCTAAAATTATCCATCATTACAAAATGTTTAATACACAAAAGAAAAAAAAAGTAAACAAAATACTTAAAGAGAAGAACTACCGTCGGTAACTAACCGGAACTAATTAAAAGAAAATACATAAAAAAAGCCAGGATTCAATTACACTCTGTCCCGAAGTTTATAGACTAAAATAAATCACATGTTAAAGAAAAATAGAAATGTATAAAATTGCCCAATTAAAATATATTTATATAAACACATGTGCCTTAACAAAAATATAAATTTGTCTTTTAGAAAAAAAATAGAAAAACGTGTGTGTCCTAAAAGTTTACAGACAAATATAATTTTATGCAAATTGGTTAGCAACAATCATGATGGGGAACTTGAGCCTTTTATATGATGATGCCCTCATTCAAATCTACAATGTAAAAAAAAAAAAAAAGATCACTTGACCTGCGTTTAGGTATGCCTAAAGCTACGCAACTTTCGGATGCTGAAGTTCTGAACTTTAAATTGCACGGTAGGTCTTTTAAAGAAATTTCGAAACTTCTGAACTGATCTGTAAGCATGATTTATCGTGTAATATTTCGTAAGACGGCATGTCAGCCAAAACCACGTTCAGAAAGACCCCCTCGAGTGCCTGTTACTTGCAACTATAAGTGGATACAAAGAATGGCTTCGACACAGAAAAAGTCGGTTCGCCAAATTACAAGGGCTTGTGAATTGCAAGTATGTAAAATCACTGTTCATAGGCGAATCAAAGAATATGGTTTTATGATTCACGTTAAAATGGCTTGGTCATTACCACTCTCAAAGCTTCAGAAACGAATGAGATTGCAACGGGCCCGTAACCCACAGAGCATATGGTGACAAATGAATCGCTGTTATTTTCAGTGATGAAAAAAAAAATGGAATCTAGATGGTCCTGATGGGTATTGATATTACTGGCGTGATTTATGAAAAGAACCGCGGAGCTATTTCAGTTGGAACAGTGGAGGCGGATCTGTTATGGTGTGGGCAGCTTTCGGGTTCGAGAGGTAAGCGAGTTTCACCTGTAGAAATATTAAGACACCATCTTATGCTGTTTGCAGAAAACATTGGAGAACAGAATTGGGTATACCAGCATGACAATGCTCCCATTCATACCTCTAATACTACAAAAAATTACTTAAATGTGTAAAATGCCACTGTTCTTCAGTGGCCACCAATGAGCCTCAAAATAGTACCTGAGTCTATAAACTTTTCGGACATAGTGTAAGCCACTTTGGAGGTTTTACGCACAACGCTCTTTCAAGGGTCCCAAATGGCCACTTTTGTAGCATTTTTACAGTAAGAAAGAGAATTATACATAAATGTAGGATGATTTTAAAGTCTCTAAGCACTTAGAACTCTGGGTTAGGGCCTTTTGGGTCTAGACGGCAGTTAAGCCTCCAATAAAGTTCTAAACTTCTAAGGCTAAAAATTTAATAAAAATATCTACAGAATCCTGGTTAGAATTAAGGAATTCTAAGCGTGCCTGGGCGACTATATGGAATCAGAAAAT